AGTAGTAGGAGTAGCAGGAGGAGGAGGAGGAGGAGTTGTGGTGGTACTGCTGCTGCTGGTGGTCGTCGTGGTGTAGTACTGGTGCTCCTGCGTGTTTGTGCTAGCAGTAGGCATTGTTCAAACTGTTCTTACTGTTGTTTTCGCTGATACCACTGCTGATGTGGGTATGACGGTATAACTCCTGCAATATTGCTGTTGCCACGAGTGTTCTGGGTTTTGCTCGGAACTCTGAGGTTCAGGGGGCGGTCGAGCACGGTGAGGTCAATCACATCATACATCTAGCTAGCATCTATAAACATAAACATGCACCACGGCATGTGTTCAAGAACCGCTCTTCCAAATGTGGTCTGTGAGTACTTCATGGCCTAATGGGTTGTGCTCAAAACACCTATGCACGTGAACAGCATGCACTGTGCCCGCATGAGAGGGCGCAATCAGCAGTGCCCCGCTTCATGAAGCTGTACAGGTGCAAACTCTCAAGCGTTCAACTGAATACTCACAGAGCTCGTCCCCGAAGCATCTATCCAGCCGTGCATGTGAGACTATTGCCTTCCTGACACCTTCGTAAACTCGTAGGCAACAAAATTTCAGCTCTGCTCTGCTCCTTTAATATGTTTCTGGGCGATCCTCTGCGTGCCAGCTCAACACGTGAAGTCGTGGTCAGTATCGTCCGCCCTGACGGGAGAGGTGCGCATGGCTGGTGGTATTGGTAGCAGTCGTTGTCGCTGAAGCGCTAGTTCCAGCTGCCACTGTTGCTGCTGCTGTGTTGCTTCTACTGCCTCATTTCACTCTACGTGTTGGCCGTGTTGGCCAGGTCTGGTATTTTTCCCTTTTGGTTTGCCACTACCACCGCGACGGGCCAGAAGGCCCAGAAAACCTCCTAAAGCCTCCGAAGTTCTTCCTGTTGGAGCCTCGAAACTTATGGCCGGTGCCTTTCGAAAAGAATGGACTACGAGGCTCCCATTCAAAGAACTGAAACCTCAAGGAGCCCTAAACCCCAAACAACCCCAAGCCTTAGCCTTGAAACATCCCTCCCTGCGTCAGGCCCCACATCCCAAAGATGACCTGTGCTTTTTGACCTCGCAATGATCCTCCAGAGCCTGACAACAAGGGCCTCTGGTCCGGAAGAGCGACAGCTCGGTGAGCGGCGAGCTATTCAATCGGTCTCTAGGGTCTAGGGGTTTCGGGGTTTAGGCTTTCGGGGTTTAGGGGTTTAGGGTTTACTCCAAGCCCCGAAGAACAGGATCAGGCCAACAAGCACACACTTTCCGGCCCTGCCTCGGGCCTTGATCTTTGCCAAAGCGCTGCTAGGCCATCTCGTTCTTTACACACCTATAGGCTTTAGGATTTAGGGGTTTAGGCTTGAGGCCCCCCCTTGGACGAAGAAAGATCCCCCAAACTTTAAACATGTTTCTTTCTTGTAGCACAGGTTAGCATCACGCCTCAACGCCAAAGCCCCAGTCTATGAACCCTCAGCCTTGTAGACCATAAAAGCTGATAGACCCGAAGACTTTCGTCTTGTGTCCCTGAGCCCTGAATCCTACACCCGGGCCTCCAAAGACTGCAATACCCTCCCCCGACTTGCAACGGTTTTGAGGGTTCAGAGGGTGAAGGATGCACACAACTTTCTGCATATACCGCACTTAGTTCTTCGACAGGATCGCAAGCTCAGAATCACCCGCCCTCCCCCCGATGAAGGAAGCCTAAACCCGAGGCAGCAGTAGAGGACTGGAAGCCAGGGATCCGAAAAAAAAATCTAGGCCCTAGTCACAAGGATCAAAGGATCCTCATTCTGCAAACCCAGCCCTGACTAAACTGCATCAGGCTCGCGATGATATCCGAGATCCAAACTCACCGACGGCTGCAGGATAAACGCCAAGTGCCAGGAGCCGAAAAAACCTCCAACCCCGCTACTGGGCACCGCGCGGCACCACAACGGCACTGTGAGCCTCCTGGCACGGGCGTGTCTGGTCTGGGGCTGGATTTACGCCTCTAGGAGACACAAGGTGTGTAGGGTCCAGAGTCTAGAGGGTGCCCAACCACAAGGTCCATGGAGCTCTCTGTGTTGTAGTCTGTAAGCATTAGAGCTTGAGAGCTGATATTTCCAAGCTCGTTCTTCCCTGCGGTTAGCTACTTCAGCATGTGCTGACCAAATCCTGAGAACAAGCCTAGAAGCCAAACCCTGCAACTACGAAATCCATTTGCGGCTTTCACCTAGTCAACGGGTAAGGTTCAGCGCTTCAAACAAGCTCGGGCTGGCAATAGCTCTTATGGCCTGGGCTACCGGGGCCCAGGCCCCCAATCTCTCAAAGTCGCCGGGGTGACCAGCAGTCGGCGGCGCTCTTTCATCACCTGCTCGAAGTCCCGGCGCTTTACCATCCTCCAGGGGCCGCTTGAAAGTCGGAGGCATCCCGAGCTTCAGGTCTGCATACAGTGGGCATCACTGGGGTTGCATAATCAGGAGCTGAAGCCCTCGTGCTCCCCCGGCCATGCATCCTAGCATCCCAGAGCCTTCACTGTCGACTTTACAGAGACAGGTGCGTCTAAGGCTCCTTTGTCGCTCGGTCCACCTCCCCCCTTGGCCCACTGACACAGGCCGCACGTAAAAAAATCAAAGGTCCAGTTTACCCCTATGATACTACAACAAACCCCTCCGCACCTCCACCAAGAAGAAACCCTAACCCCCTAGCAAGACAAGCCCCTGAACCGCCACCTCCGACCAAAAAGACAAGTGGTTGCCAGGACCGTCCTTGTACCCTCAAATAGGGGCATATGGTTCCAGACAATTTGTATGGCAGTGTCGAATAGA